ATTAACATATATAAAAACATAACAATCATGAAAAACAAGTATTTAAAATGCCCGGTGTCAAAGTAGTGTGACAGTATGAAATATGAATACTTTGAAGAGTTTATCATGATCCTCTTTTTGTCTTACAGAATAATTAAACTTTGCACAGGATATACATGTGAAGGGCGAGGGGCAATAATATCAAGAAAGCATTGCGAGTGAATGTAGCAGTAACTCCAGGTCAGGTAAACAATGTGTAAATGTTACTTTAAAGTGTTATTATTCACTCAAACAGCTACAAGCTAAACTCAAACCTTTTGTCAAATTCAGTCCGTACATTAAAGCTGTTTGCCATTGGCAGAGAAGATTTGGCAAATTTTTCATGGGCGCGACCCACATACTCAGCTGTGCTGCTCATCCCACAAATGCATGATCCTTACAAATGGGGCACCGTTTGAAAGGTAAATAAACAGGTTTTCCAACGGTATAACATTTATTGCCAAGAAGCATTGTTACAACAGAGAAATAATCTACCAAACACTAATTTCTGAACTTTTTGTTCGATGTTTACATGTAGTGTATTTGTGAAAAATTATAAAATAGCTATAACTTTGTGATTCTGTTTAGGCCAGCAGAGAAGGCCTTGCTGGCCCTGACGGCCCAACACTGTTGAGTCCGCAGTTGCAGAGAAGCTGCGTAGCGATAGCCTGCCACGAGGACCAGGGCCCGAAGCCGCAGCACCACCTACTACTGCCGTCCAAACGGGGGGCATTTCCCCAAATGTCTTACTACAGAGACCAGAGGGACGCTGTTAAGGGTCATAGTCAATGCGATAATGATTTTCGAGTTAAAGTTAGACTAACAGGCTATGGTTAGAGTTTATCATTATCCTTTGTTTTGCTCACAACACAATTTCAATTAGCAAAGGATGATCCGCTTGTAGTAAATACTTTACATTTTGATCAAACCTCTCGAGGCCTACAGATTCACGGGTTGTACAAACAAAATAGACTTGTTCTGCAGATAAATTCCCCAAATGTACCATTTGGTCATTCAAATCTAACCATTTGGTCACATTTATCTGCATTTATCGACTGTTTTGCTGCAGTCGGACTGACTCCATCCAAACTTGCCTGGAATACCCCCACAGCCTGGTCCAATGCAGCGTCCACATAGCATACATAGCACCAATCCGTCTGTTGATCTCACTTTCCATATGACCTTCATTTGTGAATACAAACCCAACATTTTTTAACTTAATTTCTTGGGTAAGGTACTCTCATACCCACTGCTTCACACACTGATTCAAACTGCCCCTACATGTACTGGAGGGTATGATCTGATAAGACCAGCAGAGATGCAAATCAAAGGTCACCATACTGGACAGTCAAGGCAAGAAAAAACCCATCACCCAATGTGAAGACACTTTTTCTAGTCCCAGTATTTCATAATCTTCAAGCATTACCCACAGGATACCCATGGAGACAGTCCACAAAACAAATGTTGACTGGATGGGCAAACTTCTATGACCTTTCCAGTATCCTTGCAAGAGTAAACAGCTGGTGGACCAGGACGGAATCTACAATGCTCTCCTTACACCTCCATGTGACATGGAAGAGGCCCCTCAACATTAATGTTAATGATAAGATTCTAACTATTAGAGAGAAGATTAATAATAACCTGCCCTCGACCAGTACCGATCTATCCTCAAATAGAGTAACCTTAGAAACAGCTGTATATATATTTAGTGGTATATCCACCAGTGAAGGCTTTGAATTCTTCCCATTCCTCCAAATTCCTCCAGAGGTGGTAATTGAAGACCTTGTGAACAGAGGCCTTAACCAGGTGTTCCCAATTAACCCTCACTATTAATTTGGATTCATCAGGTCTGTCCAACAGCCTCCATTATTGTCTGATCCAACTCACCACCAGGTGGTGATCAGCTGTTCTCCTTTTACCTGAGTATCTAAGATATACATCTGCACATCTGATGGCAGGATTACAAATGGCAGTGCCACCTGGATTTATTACCCTCTCTATACATGGAAATGATGAAGGCCCAAAATTGCTTTGCCAATGAATATTCTATAAGAAAATACAACATTTGCCTGATTTTAATTTGACTTCCTGTATAAACCATGCCCAATTCTGGTATTCTATCTGAATACAGATACAGAGCCAGTGGCAACTTCCGGCATTTCTTCAAATGGCCATTTTTTGAGCTTATAGAGCTGCGTCATAACTGCCAAGAAGGCGACGGCCGTAGCCGCCCGCCTTGAAATTAATTTTAGAAACCTCTGAGTGACGTCACAGAGGTTTTTCTGAGTTATGTTTTTAAACTTGTAAACAGTAGGTCAGTAGTTTGTTTCCCCCCTGACGTTAGAGTCTGTATTGGTCCTTAATGAGCTAAGTCTTCCTGCTAGGGGCATTCTCTGACTTGACGAGGTTAAAAGAAGCAGAAGCAGAAGTTTCAGCTCAGTTCGAAGGGACTCTGACTAAAGCAGGTGAATGTTAGGATTCACACAATGTTGTGAATTAATTGTTGTTTATTATTTATGATCTCAACATTCTATTGGCTTTAAAGGAGGGAATGATATTATATCTGTTCTGTGTCGTTACACTGAATTCTGTTCATGTGAGGAGGATCATGATCAACTCCACGCAGGTTTCATATTTCATACTTAGTGCCTACTTTGACACCGGGTTGTTTAAATACTTGATTTTCATGATTGTTATGTTTTTATATATGTTAATTGTTGGTTCCAACCTTCTGCTGATTGTGGTGATCTGTATGAACAGAAGCTTACATGAACCTATGTATCTTTTTCTCTGCAGCCTGTTTGTAAATGAACTGTTTGGTAGTACAGGGTTGTTTCCATTCCTTCTGCTTCAGATCCTCTCTGACATTCACACTGTTTCTGCTCCACTTTGTTTCCTGCAGATTTATTGTTTGTTCCTTTATGCTACTGTGGAATTTTTCAATTTAGCCGTCATGTCTTATGACCGATATCTTGCTATTTGTTATCCTCTACAATATAACACACGTATGACATTTAACAAGATTACTGTACTTCTTGCTGTTATATGGTCCTATGCCTCTGTTCTATGTGTTGTTCCAGTCATATTGAGTGTCCCTTTACAGCTGTGTGGGAACATCATTAACAAAGTCTACTGTGACAACTACCCCATTGTCAAACTGGCCTGCTCTGATACAACAGCCAGCAACATCTATGGACTCATTGCTACTTTCCTCACAGTCTTTGTCCCGGTATCTCTAATCTTTTACTCTTACATGAGGATCTTTAGAGTTTGTTTCTCTGGTTCTAAACAGACCAGACAGAAAGCTGTCAGCACCTGCACACCTCACCTCGCTTCTCTGCTCAACTTCTCTTTTGGTGTTTTCTTTGAAATATTACAGAGCAGATTTAATATGAACGGTGTTCCCAACATGTTAAGAGTGTTTTTATCATTATACTGGCTGACATGCCAACCGCTCTTCAACCCTTTTCTTTATGGTCTGAATTTGTCAAAAATCAGAATCCTAACCAGAAATTTGATTTTTCTTTGAATGTACATCTCTTACGATCATCCCGCAGATTTTCAGCTTTGATTTAAATTTGTTGTGCTTTACTAATACTAACTTGCCATCGGATGGATTATAACAGAAAATGACTTATTGTGTATTGTTGAAACTGTTTTGCTTGTAGAAATAAAGGGAACATTTAGATTCAACATGAGTGATAATCATGATTTACAGTCTTTTAAATTACTTCATTATATTCCATAGAAGAGGGGAAAACATGTGAAGTGCAGTTTGTGTGAATCTTTATAAACTTTGAAAGAAACAATTTCCACTCAAACAGTTCAATAATGCTTTTAGTTTTCATGTCTTTCTTCTTGGACATTTTGGTACAACTACAACAGGAGGGCAAACCAGAAGACCTGAATGTATGACCCTTTGTAATATGTTTCTGAGAACAGGTTGGCCTCTAACACCACATTATCGGTCATTTGATATCCATGCATGCTAGTTAGCCTGCTCGAAAGCTGCTGAGTGGAAAGTTTGATATATTGGTGCGTCGTGGTTGTAAGACAAGATTTCAGTTGTACATTTTTTATTTTTTTAAGGCTCCGCAAGCCTGAAAGGTGATCAGTAGGTCGTTCCGTAACAGGTCATTAGCTTATTGTTCCCTAATTCCTGAGGAGGTAATTAAGCCCCCAAGCAGCTCCCTTCAACCACCAACCCGCTCCACCCCCACCCTTGAGACGATGAACCAAGAGAAGAGAAAAAAAAGTCCATTCATTAATAAAATAAAATAATACCAACAAATACAGCAAGGTCTACCCATGACTCTCAGCACCCCCGCTACCCAGGATAATTCTGGACACTAGCTCAGGGCTATTCAATTAAAGTTCAGCGAGGTCCATTTAAAGAGAATTTCCTCATCAAAGATCCAGAACATCACAATAATGCTTCACTTACACTATGATTTAGTTTCATATATATTTAATTATCAACAGTTGTATTAACGTCTGTATGTCGTCAACAACTGACTGTCAAATCGAATATATATATTGTCAGATTTCAAATCGACCTGGATGAATTATAAATAATATATAGTCTAATAATAAATAATTTATTTTCAAGTAAAATAAGGGCTGCATTTGAGAATAGATTAAATAACAGAAAGTTTTTGAAAAATGTGACTCTTATAATAAAGTACTTCATTTTTGGATAAGTTGGTATAGATGATGGGAAGATTAATTGGTGATAACAAGAAAGAACTGGGTATTGATGGAACCCATTTCTTGTTGATGGTCCTGGAGGCTGAGACGTGTTTTCCCAGCTTGACGTGCTGCTTCCTGTCAGACAGGAAGCAGCACGTCAAGCTGGGAAAACACATCTCAGCCTCCAGGACCATCAGCACCGGTTCCCCCAAGGCTGCGTTCTTTCCCCTCTGCTCTTCTCCCTGTACACCAAGAGCTGCACCTCCAGTCACCAGTCTGTCAAGCTCCTGAAGTTTGCGGATGACACGACCTTCATTGGACTCATCTCTAGCGGGGATGAGTCTGCCTACAGGTGGGAGACTGACCATCTGGTGACCTGGTGCGGTCTGAACAACCTAGAGCTCAACGCTCTAAAGACAGTGGAGATGGTTGTGGATTTCAGGAAGAACATAGCCCCACCTGCCCCCATCACCCTGTGTAACTCTTCCGTCGACGTGGTGGAGTCCTTCCTCTTCCTGGGCTCCATCATAACCCAGGACCTCAAGTGGGAGCTGAACATCAGCTCCATTACAAAGAAGGCTCAGCAGAGGATGTACTTCCTGAGGCAGCTGAAGAAATGTAACCTGCCAAAGACAATGATGGTGCACTTCTACACAGCCATCATTGAGTCCATCCTCTGCTCCTCCATCGCGGTATGGTACGCTGCAGCCACAGCCAAGGACAAGGGCAGACTGCAGCGTATCATTCGCTCTGCTGAGAGGGTGATTGGCTGCAATCTGCCATCTCTCCAGGACTTGTTCGCTTCAAGGACCCTGAAGCGAGCAAGAA